AGGCTGAATGTCAAGCAGCAGTCACAAAGGCTACTGCTCTATTAAATTCTTTAGCCAATAAGACACCCTTATGTGGTAGCTTTAGTCCATGCAGTTCTACAAACAAGTAGCAATTGCTTATTAAATCAGGACAATACAATTTTTAGAGGCATGCAAATTTTTCCTATTTTACCTAATTAAAGCTATCACTTACAGCTAGATTTTTTTTTCTGTCTATTGAACTACTCAATTACTAGTTTTTTTTCCTATGGTCTAATAATAGTTAAGCTTTGTTTGAAGAAAAAAAAAACCCATGAAATCATCTATGCAGAACTTTTCAGGAGGGAAAAAAGACAACACAAAACCACCTTTTTTTTTTACTTTGGCACTTTTACCTTCAGCTCATCTGGTAACAATACGACTTAGTAGAACTTGGAGTTGATGGATCATCTGAAGGAAAATGATCATCTGAGCCACAAAAGCGTTTCTCTCCCAAGAATACCTGAACCCCACAGGCACAGTACCCTAACAGTTTCCCAAGCAAACATTCTCTTCTCCCCACTCATTTCTCCCACCATTTAGATCCATGTATGGTTATAACAGCTGCTCAGACACAGAAAAAAAAGTTTGAAATCTCTCCATTTATTGTCCTCCCCACAGGCAGGAAGACAACATTTTCTACCAAACACACTGCCTGCCTGAAGTTTATTACCATTGTTCCCTGGCCCAAAAAGTGTGTATCATTATTGATCCTCTAGTTCCCCAGTTTCTCCAGTTTGGGAATTATTGCTAACTTCAGGAGCACTTTGTGAATGTACTCAGTTTGGATCCATTACAGTATTCCTCCTACTGAGAGGTTCCAGAAATTCCTGAGGTGCCTGAAAAAAATGAGAGTAGTAATAGCTTGCCTTTCCTGCTTGCAACTTGCTAAAACCTGGATCCTGTAGAGCACGTTCATTAATGGATACTAAATGCATCAGAGCTAGTTTCCTGTTTGCTAACTTCAAAATACCGAAAAAGAAAATAATAGAAACACCTGAAACATACTTCCCCAAATATACCCCAATTTGAAAACACATTTACTTTAGACAAGATCTGTGTAGGCAAGGCCTATGTACTTCCCCATGAAGTATTAGTTCATGGCATTGCCAAGCAATACTATCCAAGCTCACTAGCATTTGTGAGAGTGCCAAAAGTCATCACTGGGTGGCAGGCTAGTACAGCACTAGAAGTGATTTCATTGTAGGTGCCATACTCCTCTCAGGTCAGTACAGAATAGTGTGTTTACTATGAAGAAAATGCCGTGGAAATGTTATTTTTTCTGTTCTTGGTGGTAAAGCAGGATCAGTTTAAGGACCCCTATCCACTGGGTGCTCCTCAGCAGACACATAGACAAAGAAAAACCATGCAGTGATCTCTCACAGCACACAGGGATGGTAGCAGGTTTGGTTTTTTATTTTATTTTTTTTACTTGAAGACCAAGGTAAAAAGGAGAACTCTTTCAAAAGAAAAGGCAGGAATGGAATTTCTTGAGGCAGCTAATCCAGTATGTGTAATTTTAGCACAGAGCAGATTCATATGTACACACTCTGGCAAAACTGTCTTGTGCACAAAAGCCCTACAGCAACATAAAAACAACTTTGAAGCTAGCATCCTTCTTCCACTTCAATACAAACAACAAAGGGTATGCCCATGTTGTGGAGACAGCATACCCACTGGAGGTTGGCACCCCAGTACACCCCGTCCACCTACATCCTCCAAACCTAGAAATGTGCATAGATGAAAATGCTCCAGAGCCATCCACAGCAGCCACTCTCAAGCACCACAAACACCGAGGACTCAAGAGCAGCCCCTGAAGACAATCCCAGAATATATTCAATGTATTGATGAGTCTCCAGGTTTGAAGTATATAAGTGGGAGTGTCCCAGCCAGGACATGTTGTTGCTGCAGTGTAGATACACCCATCTGCTACCACTAACACCAGGAGCAGAACCAGCCCTCAGGGTGGACCCCTGCATCCAAATAACCCCTTTAACCTTCCACTGACCCTAAAAAAATATTTTTCCCATCATAGGTATATGGCACAAAGGAGACTGATGCATTAGTCCCCCTCCCTGAGAAGCTGCTAATACTTCTGTGCTGTAGTAAGTCTGCCCTTATTTGCCTGAATGCAGGGTCACAGTCTAGTCACCTCATTTCCTTCTGTGCCCACAGTGATTCATACCAAGTGTCTACAGACCATTCAAACACCAGGGGCTATCTGAATGCATGAAATCCTAATCTCATTAGGATTTCTCATTTTCAGTGTAATATTGTCATGGCGTTATGCACCACTGCCACAGATTAGTGGGCTTGCCAGAACGATGCTCCACTAATGAGTTAATCCAAATAATGCTCAAATCCCAAATCAGATTTAAAGCAATCTAGACAGAGGACCTGCCAAGGAGGGGCAGGGATAGAGGGAGGAGGGAAAGGGTTGACATGGTTTTGCCTGTAATAGTTATCAGGGAGTGGGGCTATTAGGAAGGTTTAAGTATAAATTTCCTTTTGTTTTGCTAGGGAATACTCAGTTAAACTTCAGGGCTTGGGACACACATTACACAAACTGGTTTAAGTGATCAGAAACTGGTTTAAACCTGTAACAGAAGAGACATTCAGGGCATATAAACCAGTTTCAAAATGGCTAAAACTGGTTTGAGATAAACCTGGTTGAATGTAGTATCAGACTTAACTAATTTGGCTCAAACCCCTTGCTGGTTTAAGATAAACCAGATACCCTCAGCATCCCAGCATGCTCTCTGGCCTGGGCAGGGCTCTCTGTTCCACAGCAGGGCTGCCCCTGCCCCTCCGCTCTCTAGCTGGAAAAGGGACTGGCAATAGCAGAGACACTGGCCAGCATGGCCCCGTTAAAGCAAAGTGGGCAGAGAGGAGGTTAATTCTTCCCTCCCTCCCCTCTTCCCCCACTGCAGCCAGGGTCAGCCTGTCTGCCGGGGAGCAGCAGGGAGGGGTCTGCAGCGGTAGCCCCTGTAGCTGGCAGACCCCAGCTACAGGGAAGGGATGGAGGGAGGAATTAACCTTTCTCCCTGCCCCCTTCACCTTAACAGGGCCATGCTGGGTTGATTGTCCCACAGGGTGGGGAGGGGGGCTCTGTTCTGTGCTGGCAGGGACTATTCGCCCTCCTCCTCCTCCCAGGGTGGGGGACTCTGTGAGGTGCTGGATGGGGACTCTTCTTCCTCCTCCCCTTTCCCCTCTGCTGCTACAGGACTGGGCAGACTTTCCCCCCATGGCATGCAGCCCCCAATGCCTGGCAGCAGCACCAGCAGGCAGGGAGGTCAGGGCTCTCGTGCCCGACGCAGGCGTGGCTCCAGCCAGCACTGCACAGGGGGAGGGAGTGGAATCTGCCTTATCCCTGTGGCTCTGCTCCCTGAGCCTGAGCCAGCTGCTTCCCCCACTTCCCACTGTGCATTCTGCTGGGAGTGGAGGGAGCCCCACCCCCGCCTTCCCCACAGAGTCCAGGGAGGGGCTTCCCCTCTGTGACCGGAGCTGCAATAGAGGCAGTCAGCACTACGCTGGGGCTGAGGAGCACAACCCCGTGCAGCCTGCCCGGCTGCTTCCATCCCTGGGGTTCTGTGTCACACCATGCCTGCAGCTCCACACTCACAGAGGGGAAGCCCCACACTAGACTGCGAGGAAGCAAGTGTGGGGTGTTCCCTCCACTCCCGGCAGAGTGCAGGACCTTGCATGGCAGGGACTGGGGGAAGCAGCACCAAACAGAGCCCCCCTCCCAGCCCCATGGTGGTGGGGGAGAGGGAGGAGGTGGAAGAGTTCCCCCCTGGGGCCCCACAGCCCTGTGTGCCAGGATTGCTCCCAGCTGTCAGGGAGCCACAGGGGTAGGCCTGCCAGGGACTAGTCGCACCCTGCCCCTCCCCAGCTCAGCTTCCCTGTGGAAGGGAGGGCTGCTCTACCACCCCCCCAGCTTCTGGCTTGAGCCACTGCAGGCATGTGCCAAATGTCTATCCACTTGCAAACTGGTTCACTCTCTGCAGGTTAGACTAACCTGCAAAGACTGAATCAATTCAGGGTCAGGCTTTTTGAATGTCTGTCCCTAGCCCAAGTTTGCACTTATGCCCTATATGCCTTGTGGTGCATTTGGAAGTAATCTGCCATACCATATACATCTGTATACAGTGTCAATTTTTGTTTTAGGAGAGAAACTTTCATGCAGGTATAATCAGCAACTATTACTGTTTCTGTTCCCATCGTTTAAACTTCATTGCTCAGAGGATCTCAGCCATCTACAGCTTCAAACTCCATTCATTCCAATGAGGAATCTGGAGGTGAGGGGTTATTTTCACTTGTTAATTTATCATTTTGCCGACAGGATCAAGGGGGTGACAGAGCCTCAGAAGAAAGGCACTGGGGAAAGTAACTTCTACTTCTGGTTTTCATTCCCAATGTGTCCTTCACATGTAGTTATAGAGACTGAAGAGTACAGCAGTGTTGATTAGCTGAAGAATATAGTGGGATCGATTAAATGAATTTTTGTTGGAAAATGCTGATTTACTTATTCATTTTTCTCAGAGGAACATACTGGTTTCAACAAAACTTTCATCAGGAAATAGTTTCTCAGGTCGAAGTTGGAATTTCTGACTAAGGCCTACGGGGTGGGAGGAAGAGTGCTGCTCCAAAATAGCTAGTAGCCTGAGAAAGGCGGGCCGAGCGCCTGTGACACCAGGACAACAGCAAAAGGCTGGAGTCGTTACTCCTCTCACAGAAAATGGGGCCTTTCGTTAATGTATCTGTAGTTGGTGGATTTTCGGGTTACAGGCTGAGCATTGAACCACAGCCCATCCCCATTCAACCTTTACAAACCAAGTGGAGACCAATCAAGTTCAACAGGAATATGTATTGGAAACCATAGCCATAACAGCAAAGATACACTCACCACAGCAGAACTTGGATCAACTGCATACACAAACACTGAAGCTTAACTATAACAAGGAAACATAACGCTCTTCTGGAACCTGCTAGATGCGAGTATGGTGCAGTATCAGGGTCTGCCCTGGGGCTCGCTGACAGTGAGGTGACAGTGACCCTAGATAGCTTTCAAATCCTTCTCCCTTAAGGGTACTCAGATCTGAAAGTATAAGGAAGAGGGCGATACGTTACCAAATGAATGCTGAGATTCAAAGAGTCCATCTCCAGGCAAGTATCCAGGTATGTATCCTTACGTCCAAGGTTGTCTTCAATACGCGCTCTTTGCACCACAGATCACTGTCACAAACACCAATACTATAAGGCCTCAGGCACACCTATTCCATACACTCTCACCTCATGCTGACACACAGCTCATGCTATCTCTCTCCCTCACTCCACATTCACATGCAATTTCCTTTTATATCACTTCAATCACTCCACCGATCAGTCACTATCATCCTCCAATCATAACGTTGTGCACACATTCCCAGTTACTTTTGCACTCCGCCCCTGTGCGGTGCACACATTACTCCACTTGTCTATAAGATACACTGTGTGTGTCCCATCCCATAAGTGGGTCACTGACATCATTAAGGTGGAAAGTTCAGCTGTTCTGGAGCCGTCACACCTCTAGACAGAGTGTGCACGCTCCCCAGGGTGCTCAGGTCAGGAATCCACGTCTACCAGCCTGGTGATCAGAGAACCCACTCAGGATTTAGGAAATCGAGATTCAAGCCCTAGTCATACTCCGGCCAAACTTGGGCATCTCATACACCAGTGTTTCTCAACCCATGGGTTGCAAAACTATATGAAAGGATTGTGAACAAACTTTAAAAACGCATCAACAAATTTAAAAATGAATTTGCCAGTAAAGGATAAAAACATGGGAAACTTTGGCTTTTCCCTTGCAGGCTGGCAGAGTTTCAATCTGAGGGCTGCTTGGGACCCCCCCAACATACTCACCCACCCCTTGCACTACACTCTGGGGGCCTGGGGCCAGAAGGCAGCGGGTCAGGAGTGAGTGGTACTGGGTCTGGACTGGCCATCGATGATTGCAATAGGTCCTGGTACAAAAAAAAAAGGTTGAAAACAGCTGTCCTACACCCTAATCTCTAGGCTATTAACTGTTCTGTCTCTCATTCTCATTTTTCACAAAATCCCCTGAAAGGTGTCAGTTTGATCTCGGTGCAGAGTGGAAAAGTCTTTGCAAAATTGGAAAGACTCACTGAACGGGAAGTGATTTCCTTTTAATTTCTATTGATGAGCACTTATAAAACACTGTGGCTTTTTCCTTTTATTGGTGTGCTCCTGATGAGCCCATGCCCATGATCCTTATTCAAAAAAAAAAAAAAAGTACCCATCACTTTTAATGGAACTTTTTGCCTGAGGCATAAGATCAGGCCCTTTGTGCCTTCAATCCCATATCTCTTTGGTTTACTGAAAAACCCATGTGCTTATTATCAGGACCACTGCACAGTAGATGAGATCACAGTACCTTATTCTGCCTCACACACTGTCAACAAATTTGCTCATCAGAGAAGTTTTAATTTCTAAATCTTTCATTTTGCTATTGATAGATGGAACAGAAGAAACACAGTTTGATTTTCAGATACTGGATTCAACTAAGCAGTGTTGCAATGAGAATCTGATTTTGACTTGTCTGCTGAGCCAATTTGTTATGGAAATCACCACAGGGAAACTTCTACAGAATAATAAGTGTCACATTTGCAAAATCCTTTTTGCCTATAGCCACAATCTTTCTGGTACCATTTCCTCATTGGCTTTCCAACTCTGATAACATCTAGAATCAGCTGAATACCTGGTCCCATACACGCACCAGGAGATTATGTGAAAAACATCAGTAGAAGTCTTTCCATTCGCTAAATTTTGAATTGGACCCTACACCCTGTCCTAACATGCAGCTGGAGACTAGGCCACCTAAGTCTAACTACTAGGATCTTACACAACCTGCTAAAATAATAATAAGAAACAGTGCCTGCACAAAGAGACTTCACATTTGCTTCCCATATTAGACTCAAATTAACTTGTTTTCGCTACACTTTTTCCTTAAAAGAAACAAATCTGTTGCTAATATTTACATACTGGATAATCTTTCTGGTCCAATTTCTCTTTTCTTGAAGTTGGAAACCCAAAGAGTACAAAATCTTAAACCTACTCAAAATGTTATATTTAGGTGTCTGCCAGCAACATTTTTTGCATAAGCCCCACCCTTTTTGAGACAACTGCAGGGAGCAATCTTTTTCTTCTCTGCTAACAAGGTACTAATAACAATAGTAATCACCCTCTGCCTGTTCAGCTCCCCCCAGGAGCATGGCAGCAAATTGATGATCATTTCTCATTGTGAATTATGACACAGGCACATCACCTCACCCCTGGAATAAAGCAGCACCTGCCAATCCTGTTAAAACAGCAAGGGGAGCAATGAAAGCCCTGCTGTAGCCAATCTGAATCCCTGCTGACTCTAATTACCCAGACAGGAATTTTACAATTGCTTCCCCCACCAACTCCAGCTCTGTAGTCTGCAGACTTTGGCTGGATCTTTCTTTGTATGCCTACTGCCACTGAGTGGATTGGGTTCTTAATGAGTCTTGACACTAATGGTACAGTGAGACAGTGCAATTACATCTCCCCTCCCATTTGAACAAACCTGGCAGGAAACGACCTGAGACCTCACACCCTTCCACCCCAAAGAAATCAGTTATAATGCCTCACCAGCAGGGCCAGCTGGTGCACTCTTCCCATATCCACCCCCATTTCACTTCCCCCCTTCTCATTGTGCAGGTGGCTGGAAATAAATGTTTATGGCCTGAGCTATGACTGGTTGGTGGAGGACAGTACAGTTTCTTTTCAATCCAAAGAAGCCAGGGCAACATCTGCATGCTTAGAAACATGAAATGGAGCTGACCGAAAAAAAGATGTTTTCATTCACGTATTGTAGGGCTCTAATGTGCACTTGCCATTGACTAGATGCTTAACAACTTGTGTAACTGAGGCTGCTTTTAAGGGGGAAGGCCATGTGCTTCTGTGATTTCCGTGCTGATTGTAGTACAGGTGTAAGAGACTGCCGCTACCTATTGAACTGTGAGCTAATTATAGTAAGAAACAGATGTTGTCTGCTAATAGGATGGCAGCATCCGTAAGAAACATTTTAGTTAGCGAAGGGTAAGCGTGTCCTCTGTATCCTTAGAGAGATGGTTTATAAAAGATGTGCGGTCCCCCTTCCACTCCATATCTGACACGTCACAAACATAAATGATTTTTGTTCTACAAGACTCCTGTTAGACAGGGAAGTAATAGCCCCATTTGACAGATCAGGGAACTGAGCTACTGGAAATCTAATTGACATGATAAAGGTCACAAAGGATTTAGTAGATGAGGCAGCAAAAAAATCAACCTAGATTCCCCAGTTCCAAGTCCAGGACTAACCACAGGCTAGTTGTTTGATCCAGACTAGTGGCTTCTCACATGTACTTTAATCTCTCCCAGTCTCTATTATGATAGTATAATCTTCCATTTCTGTTAACCTCACCATTGCTCCCCACAGAAGTCTTTGAGTCTCTTTATACCACAGCTGTTTATCATCAGGCGGGGTGTTCCTCTTGTACCCTGGCAGAGTTCATTTGGCCTCCTCTCCTCCCTTCAGGCAACAGGAAGCCCCTGTGGATCTCTGCTGTTTATCAAGCAAAAGTATTCCCATAAGCTTGCCCTCTCCTCTGCCCAAATTCTGCAACTGTCTCCAGGACAATGTTAGCTGTGTAGCACCCTGAGCTTGCTGTGTGCACAACAAATGTCTCTAATTGGTTTGATTATGGATTATAAAGATTAAGAGGCTGTTAACACACTAAAATAAAAAGGTGAATGGAACAATAGCAGCAATGGAATTGCATGGCATAGCGTTTTAGTCTCTTCCCCCCAAAATATGCTTTAAAATACAAAGGAACTATTTTTAAAAAATCCTGCTTTTCTGTTTAATCATTAGTTTACTGTTTTATGAAAGTGGATGGATCCACATTTATACATCTTGCAGTTTTTAGGGACAGAAAAGGGTTTAAAAACCATCATAGTTAAATAAACAAGTGTTCCCATTCTTTGTCCCAAAGCACAAAATGTACAATTCTGGTAAAAAAAAAAGGGGGGGGGGGAAGAGAGTAGTAATTTAAAGTGGCTCACGGCACTTCTAGCTGGTGTTCTAGCTTTTTTCCACCCAGCCCCCTGCAGTTTATAAAGTATTATTTATTGTGGTATTCAATTAAGTACAAGGGCTTGCTATAGCAACTACAGCAAGAAGAGGTACTATTCATAAACTGCTCCTGAAATACAGGCTTTTAAGCACCTTCTTAAAAACACTTGTTGGTAAACCTGTGGCATATGAATCTTTTACATGATTTATAAGAAATAAGTTGTGCACTAAATGAATTTCACATCAATTTATCGCTTGGGGTCCTTTCCTCTGCTTTATTTTTTTTAACCTTAGCACATTTTTATTGGAAAACAACAACAAAAATATTAAAACAATTCTTCAGCCAAGGACTACAAGTAGGAACATAACATAACCGAGTTCTTTTCTCTGCCACCATGTGGCAGCAAAAGTTAGTTACTACCCCTCACAGCATCAATGCCTTCATACACATTCCAGCTGCGACCTTGTGATCAGTCATTCTAGGGACCCTTTCTGGTTCTACACCTGCCAGCTGTCAATGATGGACTCCAGGGAGAATCATACAAGATTTCTGGAAAATTACAAGGGGCAGCTGAAGAAAGAATTTGATTTGCTTTTACTCTCCTATTTTTAAAGAGAAATTATAACTTTTCCTGCTTCCTGGCCCTTTCTTAATTCTATTTTCCTTTGGCTTCCCAGTTCACTAGTTCCTTGTGTTTCTAGTTCCTCTTTAACAGGCTGCCCTGCTCACATGCTCCGATGTCATAATTACTAAATTACAGCCTTTTCTAGCAAAATAATTTCCTTTCTCTCTCTTTCTTCATGTTTATACCAGAAGCCTCAGAGCATTAGAAAAATGACAGTTTCCATTTTAAGCCTGAGACGAGTGTAATTTTGGCCCACGGAGAAGTACTTCTTTCTTCCATCTTCCCTTCAACAAAAACACTCAAAACTCCATCATGGCAGAGGGCCCTTTAGGAACCTGTGCTGCTCTAAAAAGATGCATCTGCAATATAAAAATCTTGCAACTAACAGCTGGAGTTAGCCAAAGGCAGCTAACAGTTTTAAACATTTCTGTCTTTGGCCTAAAGGCTTAATAGTGTTTTTAAAATGTATTGAGACAAAGCCTACTGGTGATGAGAACCAGATTATTCATAAAATTTCTAATTTCCCACTTACTGATTGAGAACCTCATCTGAAATTATATATAGTCCCTGCCAGCTTAATATTCAAAGTCTTCAGTCTTTAATTTATTTTGTAATCATTGACTTCAACCTAGAAGAGTTCCATGTTAATGGATGAAAAATGCTGCTTATTGCATGCTGACTCTGTCCCTCCATTTCAACTAAATGCTGGATTCTTCACTTCCTATTCTAAATCACGTCGTTTCATGCTGTCAAATAGCTACTACAGTCAACTATAGCAGTAGTGACACTGAAGGGCTGAGTGAAGCAGCTCCTGTGTATGTACAGTTTGTAAAATGCTTTCAGATTGTTGGCACAAATCAAGCATGATGTTGTTCTCTCCATAAGGCTACCTGCAAACTTGTTAAAAACTAAATCCTATCATATGTTTAGTGTAGTGCTTTAGTTTTAGAGCTGTGCAAGATGTTCCTTCTGCTAGTTCTTATCAACACCTCCTGCAATCCTGGCCCACAAGATCTGTAGCAATAACAAGAGTCTGATCTATAAAAAGAACTGCTTAAAGCTATTGTTTCAGAAGACTCAGGAAAGTCTAGTATATGCAGGTGTGCTAGGTGGTATAAACAGATTTAAATAAGCACACCTTATTAGAATAGGGAGCACTGACTGGACCCCAACCATTATCTTCAGCTACCAATGTTCACACCCACACACAAATTTTAGAACTTGGTGCCTGCTTTCCTGCCCATTCCCCTTGACTACTAACCTCTCCCACTCTATCTGTAGAATCCAAAAAAAGTCCTGATTACACTGTTCCCAACCTTCTTTTAAAAGCCCTAAATGATTCTAAGTGAAAAGATGTCACATGCAGTGTTTAATTAAAGGACCTCATTTTCGCCTTGAGTAGACTCAGACTTCAGGTAGCCACCATACTGACAAGAAAAGCAACTGTTGGCCTGATTGCCAATTACCTGAGTACTGTGCCAGCCTTATTCAGCACATTTTTAGCTAGTCTGGTTGCATTCATTCTGACATTTATAGTCCAATTTATTAATTAATCTCTTAATCCAAAAGCTATGAGTTA